TTCATCTCACCGGAAATATTCCCAGAGTTTTCCAAATTCTCGCGCGCGTCCAGGTCTCCGTTCCAGCTCGAGTTCGTATTCATCAATGTCCGCGCGAGTTTATAAATCGAAGAGAGCATGTAGCGTGGTGGTCTTCCTTGTGGTATTCCATGCGTGAGGTCACGGCCTGGTCCCAGCCCGCGTTTGAGCCCGCGCTCCCTCACAGATGCGGCCCGCGAGAAGCCCGATCCCAACCCTTGTGTAAGCCGCATGGCAGTGCATCTCCTTGGCCCAGATGTCCGTCTCCACGGCCCAACAGAAGCAATGCGCGGCACAACAGCATCTTGACGCGGCCCAGTTGACGTTGCTTCAGCCCAGCGAGCATGGTTCCAGCCCAGCGCGTTCATATGAGCCCAGATCGCGACCAGCAAGCCTAGACCCGGTCCAGGAGCGGTCCAGCAGGTCAAGCAGCCCCGGTTCGAGTCCAGGATGGTTCCCGAGCAGTCCGATTCACTTACCGAAGGTCCGAGACGATCCGATAAGCTTGATGAGTGATTGGAGCACCTTGACAACTCGATTAGAATCGAGAAAGGCCAAGTCTAGCTGCCCATTAGACTTTGGTGTTCAGACGATCTCCATCAACGGAAATTAGAAACGTCTCAGAGTCGGCAAAAATTTTAAACCGTAAGTTCTAATCCTAACTATAGATTCCGCTGCGTTAGAATTTATTATTCAATAGATTTGAATGTGCACATTGTCGACGTTCCTCATAGAACCCAACACCAACGACCTCCATGGAAATCGGTCCCAACTCTCCAAGCAACAACCCTATATTTTTCCCTATTTAAAACACCCAAAGACTTCATTCGCCCCTCATCTTTCCTTCAGCCATAATCCGCTCAAAATTCCACCATATCTACTCGGTAAAATCTCCTCAGTAACGGGCCGCCGGCGACCAAGAATTTACACCGGCGAGGGGTTTAGAACGCACACAATAGTGCATAGATTGAGAGCAGGCCCGTTCTCCGCGGGTGGAGGAGACTTCTGACGAATTGAGCGCCACCAGCGCCACGACCTTGAGCCCAATTCCCAGTGAACAGCAGCAGTCACGGCAAACTGAAAGCCACGAGATTTCCCAGCGGTTGACGAGCACACCGAGGGCTCCAGTCCGGCGACCGAGAACAACACCACCAACGACTTCCCGACGTCTGGAACCAGGCGGCTTTGCCTGAGGCCTGACCATTGCCATGGCTGAGGCGAGCATCCAAGAGAGTGACAAACAGCAGCCGAGTCATCTCTGGTGACTGGAGAACTTTGTCGAGTGCCAATCGAGCCGAGAATCGTCCCAAGCTAAGCCCTTTCTTCTTTGTTCTCACAGTAAGAATGACTAAGCCTTTAACCTTAGTTGTGGCCGAATTTCATGTGTATATGAATGCGTAAATTCAGTTTCTAGAAGTAAGCTCGATAAGATTTTCTTAAAATCGAGCATGTTTGAGTGATCAGCCAGAGCCTCGATTTCTTCTTTAGTGGCTGAGCATATGTGTCTTGATTTGTATAATTTCAGTTCATCTTAAGGTTAAATCATGTTAGAGTTGGTGAGTTTTGAAGCTTATGAAGATCATGTTTGTTGGTATAGTTTGCCCTGCTTTTGTTCTGACTATGCTAAGACTTTTGATATATTGTTCATGTTGTAAACATGGTTTTGTTGCTGAGTTTATGATCAAAAGTTTTGTTGTAAGCATACTTAGATTTTTATATGTTTTAAAGGAGAATTAAGTCATATTTGGCCATGTTGATTGTAGAGTATTGGGCCTTGGTAATATGTTGTGTATTGTTGTTGTTTTTGGAGTTCATTTCAGGGAAATTAATGTTCAATCTTGAGGCCTAGGTACTGTGCTTTCCTGGCTTAGTAGTTGTAGAGATAAAGAGCATGATATGCTTTATTTTTTTTCTTATTTATTTTTGGCCTTATCTTTGAGCGTACTAGTTGTGTTTTTGTTGAAATTGTGCTGCCATTATGTTCAGTTTCAAGAGTTGAAGTTTCAGTTTAGAACTAAACTGATGAAAAGCATGTTTTAACAAGAGAAATGAGAGAGATGATTCTTTTGCCTTAGTTAAGTGTCTTTTTAACGAATCCGAACCGTAACCGGGTCGGCCTAAGCGGTTCAGCAAGAGAACCGGGTCTGACCTTGCACAGATCGGTGGGTTCGAGCCAACCCAGTTAAATGGAGTTGTCAGTAATGGTTTTGTTTGTTTTATTTGCTAAGTGTGAATTATCTGTTTTATGTGTTCTTAATTGTCCTGCCTTATAAGCTTGTTTGCCAACACCTTTGATAATAAGGAAAATTGTTTTAACTGTAGATTAAGAGGAGTCGATCCCTCATTCAGATGTACGTTTTTGAAGTAGTTCAGTAAGTAAGCAATCCAGGTGGGGGTTCTATACTATGGTTTATTCTTTATAAACATGTGGTAGTATAGTTTTTATATGCATGTGATTGTGGGCGAGCCAAAGGTGATGTGAACTTTTACCATGGCGGCTTGAAATAAGAGTCACTAGGCCGGGTAATTATCAGTTAAGTTATCTACTAGTGGGACTGGGTAATGCCAATGGCACTAGTTGAGTTATTTATTAGCGGGATCGGTTGATGCCGAATGCACTAGTAAGTAACCATACCGACGTTCATGAACATAGGTTAACGGCGTATAATAGCTAATTAGCCGGGTAAATTATGGAGGCTTGAAATAAGAGTCACTAGTCCGATTTTACCTGGAGGCTTGAAGCTGAGATGATATCAGTCAGTGGTGAGACAGTAAGTTTTGCATGTTTATATAATTATTATCCTATCTTTGTTTATACTGAATCGATGCATATATGAATTTTACCACTGAGCCGAGAGACGATGCTCACCCCTTTGTTTTTTAGGTTGATCGAGCTGGCGGTGGACACGAGAGCACGGGCGTGGTTGTCTTTAATTAGGTTTATATTTCTGTAAACTCTGTCGAAATTTATATTCAAAATTGAACGTTTGAATTACAGATTGATTATATGAAACATGTTTATTTTGAAACGTTTATGTTTTGAATGTCTTGATTGAAATATTAGATTTTGAGTAATGCCGTTAAACAAATTTTTATAATGATTTGCGAAAAATACTCTGGTTTTTAGAAAAATATTCGGTATTATATCTTTTAAATAAAGGGGCGTTACATGTTCAATCCCAGAACTCTGCAGCAAAAAATTGAGTTGGGGAAAAAACAACTGCACACATTGGAGGCAATTACTAAGAAGATTAAAGGAAACTATAAACCCTTTACTCCTTCCCAACAGACAGCTAACACAAGAAATTTCTCCCCTAACCATCAGAACACCCCATTACATCCTAAACCTATTTCTAAAACTCCCACCAAATTCCTAAGTACAACTGAGATGGCAGCTAGAAGGGAAAAGGGCTTATGCTACATCTGTGATGAAAAGTTTGTCCCTAGGTATAGATGCAAGTACAGAATAAATTATATGATCATGACAAAAGAGGAGGAACTGGAACACTTGCAATTTGACAGTACAGAAGCTGGCACAGGGCTAAACGAGGAAAGTCCTCGTGAAGAAGCTTTGATCTCACTGAATGCCATGATGGGAGAGGGGGGGCCTAATACCCTCAAATTATTTGGGTACTATGGGGGCAAAAAGTTACTGATATTGTTGGACACTGGCAGCACTTTAAGTTTCATCTAGGAATCCACTACCAAACAAATGGGTTGTGAGTTGTTACCAGTAAAACCCATAATGGTAAAGGTAGCCAGTGGACAAAGATTGATGACTTCACAACAGACAAATAATTTTTACTGGGAAATGCAAGGAAAGGAGATCACTTACCCTTTAAGGGTGCTCAAGAGTGAAGAGTGTGACATCATTCTAGGAGGTGATTGGTTGAAATCTTGTACTCCCATTGAGATTGACTATGCTTCAATGACAGTCACAGTAGGGATTGGGGGACAAAGGGTCACTCTTCAAGCACTGACCAAGGGAGTTGAATGCCATTTCATCACAGGGGACTCCCTACACAAATTACTACATGCAGGGGAGGACCTGGTTGAACAAATGTATCTGCTATCAGTGGAAAACTACCCTAATGCTGTGGAATCAGATCTCACATTTCTACTACAGGAATTTGAGGATATTTTTACAGAGCCTCAAGGTTTACCCCCTGAAAGGGGGGTTGAACATCAGATTATTATTATACCTGGGAGCATTCCTAAATTTCAGTATCCGTATAGAACCTCACATGAGCAGAAAAATGCCATTGAAGGGATTGCGAAGGAACTACTGATAACTGAGGTTATTCAAAATAGCAAATCTCCTTTTGCCTCACCAGTGTTGTTAGCAAAGAAGAAAGACTCCACATGGAGGCTGTGTGTTGACTATAGGTACCTAAATAGCCTAACTGTCAAGCATGATTTTCCTATACCAATCATTGAAGAATTGATGGATGAATTACATGGGGCTAAGTTTTTTTCTAAGGTGGACCTAAGGTCTGGATATTTCCAAATTTTGATGAACAAGGAGCACATGTACCTCACAACAGTCAAAACTCACAGTGGGCACTATGAGTTTCTAGTCATGCCCTTTGGATTGTGCAATGCTCCTGCAACATTCCAATCCCTCATGAATCAAGTTTTTGCAGATTGCCTAAGGAAGAGTGTATTGGTCTTTTTTTTATGATATTTTGGTTTACAGCAAAACATGGGAGGATCACCTAAGACACCTAAGGCATACTCTTGAGTTGCTTAGGGCAAACTCACTTTATGCAAAGAGGAGCAAATGTAAGTTTGGAGACACCAACAATGAATATCTAGGACATATAATATTTGCTGAGGGTGTTTCAACAGATCCTGAAAATATTGAAAGCATGATGAAATGGCCAGTACCTAGTAATGTCAATAAATTAAGGGGATTCTTAGGCCTCACTGGTTATTATAGGAGGTTTATTCAAGGCTATGGATTAATCAGCAAACCTCTTACCATGCTTCTCAAGAAGGACCAGTTTAAGTGGGGAAAAGAGGCTGAGGAAGCATTCAACAGGCTTAAAGGAGCAATGACCCCAGCTCTTGTATTAGCTCTGCCAAATTTTGACCAGCCCTTTATTGTGGAGACAGATGCAAGTGGGGTTGGCATTGGAGCAGTTCTGATGCAAGGAGGCAGGCCCATTTCTTTCCTAAGCAACGCTTTATGCCCAAAAAATCAAGCACTCTCAATCTATAAAAGAGAGTTTCTAGCAGTACTCCAAGTTGTACAGAAGTGGAGACACTATCTACAAGGCCACATGTTCACTATAAGAACTGACCAACAGGCCCTAAAGTATTTAATGGAGCAAAAAGTGGCCTCCTCTTGGCAACAAAAGGGAATAATAAAATTATTGGGACTGGACTATGATATACAGTACAGAAAAGAAAAGGAAAACAAGGCAGCTGATGCCTTATCAAGGGTTGGTGAAGGAGGGGTTTGCACAGCTATATCCACAATGGTACCCACCTGGCTGAAAGAAATCATTGAGAGCTATAAGGAAGATGAGGTTCTCAAGGGTTTCATGGAAGGCAAGCTTGATCCTTATGATAAATATTGGAAGGCATGAAAGGGGATATTGTCAAGACTGAAGAGGGTTTAATCAAATACAAAGGAAGGATTGTAGTAGGAAATGACTCTCCTACCAAACACAATCTCATCAGGGCTATGCATGATTCATCTTATGGGGGGCACCCAGAGGTAAATGGCACTTACAGAAGACTCAAGGCAGTTTTCTTTTGGCCAAGAATGAAAGCAAAAGTAAACAAATATGTGCAGAAATGTGAGGTGTGTTGCACAAACAAAGCATCACATGAGAAGAAAGCAGGGCTATTGCAGCCCTTACCAATTCCACATGAAGCATGGTCACATTTGTCCATGGACTTTATTGAAGTATTGCCCAAGTCCAAAGGGAAAGATTCTATACTGGTGGTGGTGGACAGGTTAACTAAATATGGGCATTTTATTGCCCTCTCGCCCTTATACTGCTCAAGGAGTTGCTCAGGTTTTCCTTGATTAGATATATAAATTGCATGGTATGCCAGTTTGCATCATAACTGACAGGGATAGAATTTTCACTAGCAATTTTTGGAGGGAATTGTTTAAGTTAATGAGGGTGTAGCTGAATTTTTCCTCATCCTACCACCCACAAACCGATGGTCAAACAGAGAGGTTGAACCAGTGTTTATAGAACTACCTAAGGTGTATGGTTCATGCTAATCCTAAACAATGGCTGAAATGGCTACCTCTAGCTGAGCTGTGGTACAACACTAACTCCCACACATCTCTCAAAACTACCCCTTTTCAGGCCCTCTACGGCTATACCCCACCAGATTTCACTCAAAGGGGTTTACATGTCTCAACTAATGAAGATGCAAGAGAGTTCAATCAACAGAGGCAGCTAATGAAACAACAGCTCAGAGAAAATTTACTATCTGCTCAGAACCGCATGAAATTCTATGCAGACAAATCAAGAAGTGAGAAAAAATTTGAAGTGGAAGATTGGGTTTACCTCAAGCTGCAACCCTACAAACATAATTCAGTCCATCTCCGTAAGAGCTTGAAGTTGTGTTCTCGATACTATGGCCCTTACCAAATCATTGAGAAAATGGGTCAGGTCGCATATAAATAAGACTTACCAGAAGGGTCTAGGGTGCACCCGGTGTTCCATGTGTCATTACTTAAGAAAAAGCTGGGAAACACAAACTCACCTATCAAGGAGTTGCCTGCACCAGATGCCGAGGGGAATTACCAGATCGAGCCCATAGAGTTTCTTGACAAGAGGTCCATCACACGCAATGACGAAGTGATTACTCAGTTGCTCGTGGTTTGGAGAGACAAGGTGCTGGGAATGGTTTCTTGGGAAGACGAAAAGTTTCTGGTCAAGAAGTTTGGGCAATTTGATCCTTGTGGGCAAGGATCTCAAAAATGGGGAGGAATTGTTATGAACATCACAAAAGAAGATGAAGAATTGCAAATGTTAATCGATGAGGGTTTGGTGAGCAAAATGGCGTTTGAAAGGTTTGGTGGCGGTAAGGTTATGTCTGAAGATGAAGTGAATTGGGAAAATGGAGGAGAGAGTGACATCTGTCGCAATCTCGTGAGAACTGAGGAGTAAATCAGAACCGCAAACGTGTTGCCTATTTATCTGTTATTTTTATGAGATAATTATGTAGTTTTCTTTTACTTTTCCTTATTTTTCAGCATTTGGGATTTATGTATTGTTGGGCCCACAATTTGTTATTTAAGTGGGAACATGCAAATGAATGAACACCTTTATGAAACAAAAAATATTCTCTTTCTCTCTCTTCTCTCATTTCTCTCTCTATCACTCACCCTTCTCTTCTTCTTCTCTAATCCTCCATTGAAATACAGATAATTGTATGGAGTTCCCAACCAAAAATATATCTCAACTAAGCTATATCATTACATGTTAAGCCCCAGGAGAAATCGTATTTGACCTTAATGGGCCTGCAACAAAAAGAGGGCGAGTCATTGCGAGACTACGTGGCGAGATATATGCGTGCGTGTGTCGGCGTACCCAGAGCATCAGAGGGGATCAAAGCATGAGGATTGACTCGAGGGTTGCTACCAGGGCTGTGCAGGAACTCTCTGGCGAAATGCCCCGGTAAGACGTTTGATGAAGTGTTAGGCAGATGCGCGAAATATATGAATGTTGAGGAAGCAGAAGCTGACTTCTTGCAAGCAGAGAAGGACAAAACCGAACACCGGGACAAGAAGAAGGATAAGAAAGTGAACCCATCGAGAGAAATGAGAGGATCCCCAAGGGCAGACAGGGAGGGGTGATCTAGGGGATGGAGGCCGACTCAATACACCCCTTTGTCGGCCTCTCAAGCGTGAATTCTGGAGGTGATGGAAAGGGAAATTAATGACAATGTCATCAGATGGCCCAAGACGAAGAAGGATGGACCAACGAGACCCAAGAGTAATTTATACTGTCGATTTCATAAGGATTATGGGCACAATACAGACGACTGCAGACATCTTAAAGACGAGATTGTAAGGCTGATCAAAGCAGAACACTTAAAGGAGTTCATATACAAGGATCGGGAGAGGTCGAGCAGAAGGAGAGAAAGGAGCAGGAGACATCGCAAGAGGGCGAGAACACCTGAGAAGGAGGAGCTTCCCCAAAAGAAGGGAGTCATACACATGATATTTGGTGGACCAACTGATGGGGATTCGAATCAGGCATGGAAGGCGTATGCTCGAGGGCGCCATGGTAAAGTCGAGGTACAAAAAGTCGACGAAAATGGTCCAGTAATGAATTTTGGGCCAGCAGAAGTGGGAGAGGCGAGAGACCTCACAAAGATGTATTAATGATACCTGCCCAGGTATCAGGATATGAAGTGCAGAGAGTGTTTGTCGACACTGGGAGCTCAGTAAATGTGATATTTTATGATTTTATCAAGAGGATGGAGCTCGACATAAAACTCACACCCCTCGACACCTTGATGTTTGGTTTCAATGGTTCTGAGGTCGCACCCCTAGGAGAGACTATGCTCGCTGTCGTCCTAGGGGAAGGCAACTTGCGAAAGGTGGAAATGGTGAGATTCGTAGTAGTCGATGTCGAGTCGGCCTACAACGTGATCCTGGGGAGGCCAGCGCTTAATGCATTTCAGGCTGTGGTGTCGACTTACCACATGAAGCTGAAATTCCCAGTCGGAGAAGCTCGAGACGATCAAAAGCTATCGAAGACTTGTTATCAAATTGCTGTGAAAACCAACCAGCGGGCCGAAATTAAGGAAGTGAAGAAACCAATGTCGAACGAGAAGAGGCCAAGGAGTAGCGATCTTGAACTACACGGGGAGTTAATGGAAATACAGATTGGAGAAACGAAGGAACAAACCACTAAGGTCGGGAAGGACCTGGAATTAGAGCTGCGAGATCAACTTATCGCATTACTAAAGGAGTTCAAGAATATATTCGCTTTTAACCCTAAAGAGTTGACGGGGATCGACCCCAACATTATGGAACATAAACTCAACGTCGATCCCCTCTGAAAGCCAGTAAAACAGCGACTTAGGTACCACGGAGCAGAAATCATCAAAGCCATCGAAGTCGAGGTGGATAAGCTGCTGCGAGCCGGACATGTCAAAGAAATCCAATTCCTCGAATGGATATCCAATACTGTGATGGTGAGGAAGGCACTAGAAAAATGGCGCATGTGCATCGACTTTCGGGATCTGAACTCGACATGCCCCAAAGATCATTACCCCTTGCCAAGAATTGATCAGCTAGTCGACTCCACGGCTGGTTGCGAATTGCTAAGTATGACGGATGCATCTCAGGGGTATCATCAGATTCCTTTGGCCCCCGAGGACCAAAGTAAAGTGAGCTTTGTGACAAGCAAGGGGACGTACTATTACATCGTCATGCCCTTTGGACTGAAGAATGCAGGAGCAACCTACCAACGATTGATGGATCGTATGTTTAAATCCCAGATCGGGTTAAATATCGACGTATATGTGGACTACATTCTGGTGAAAAGCAAGTCTTCGACTTCACACCCAGACAATTTAAGGGAAACATTCAAAACCCTTAGAGCGTTTGGGATGAAGTTGAACCCAAGGAAATGTGCCTTTGGAGTAAAGACATGTCGATTTTTGGGATATATCGTCACAGAACGAGGAATTGAAGTAAACAAAGACAAGGTGAAAGCCATACTCAACATGGCCCCGCTAAGAAATATCAGAGAGGTGCAGGTCCTCACGGGAAGGATTGTTGGGCTAAGTAGATTCATCGCTCGAGCTGCAGAAAAAAGCTTCTCATTCTTCAAATTGCTCAAAAAGAAGCCGACTTTCTTGTGGAGTGACGAGGCGCAAATGGCATTTGAAAAATTGAAGGAGTTTTTGGGCAAGCTGCCTTTATTGACAAAACCTGAGCCCGGTGACGGTTGGTACTATACATATATGTGGGTTCAGTATCATTAAGTTCAGTCTTATTACGAGAAGAAAGAGGTGTTTAACATCCAATTTACTACACTAGTTGAGTAGTCTAGGGTGCGGAGACAGGATACTCTGAAGTCGAGAAAGCTGCCTTGACACTTGTGATAACGGCTAAGAAATTAAGACCATATTTTCTGAATCATGTGGTAATAGTGAGGACGAATTTCCAGCTGGGAGAAACACTGGGTCGACCTACTGTCTCAGGTCGACTCATGAACTGAGCGTTCGAGCTGAGCGAATACTCCATCAAGTACGAGCCAAGGCGAGCCATAAAAGCTCAAGCCTTAGCCGATTTTATCCAAGAGGGCACCAAGGGGGAAAAGAAGAAATGGATCATGCACGTCGACGGATCCTTAGCGGCCAAAGGATCTGGTTTAGGAGTCGTCCTCGTGTCCCTCGAGGGCGAACAACTCGACTTTGCCATTAGGATAGGGTTTAAGGCCTCAAACAACGAAGCAGAATATGAGGCACTAATCAAAGGGATTCAACTCGCAGTTGGAGGTGGGGCAACGAAAATCATGGCACATTCCGACTCACAACTCGTTGTCGGACAAGTATTAGGCAGTTGCGAGATTAAGGAGGATCAAATGCTGAAATATGTCGA